CAGATGCATATCATAAAAGTAGAATATTAGATGAAGAGATTGCTAAATCTAGAAGCTTAAAAATTTATACAAGTAATGATAGTTCGTTGAATAATCTTGATTGTAACTCTTTTCTCTAAATGTTAACAAAGGTAAATAAAAATTTCATTATTAATCGATTGGAAATTACTATCCATTAATTATTACCAACAATATTAATTAATACATTAAATTCTAGTAAAAGAAAAGATCCAATGAATGACTAATTTAATCTCCACTATAAATTTATTATCTTCTTTTATTTATCTTTTATTTCATCCTTATTTTATTTCTTATCTTGTAACCAGTACTTTGAAATAATAAACTTTTACAATTTTTTGTTTCTTGTTAAATGGTGATATTGCAAGGTATCGTTTTGGAGCACACTTAATTGTACCAGATGGCTCTTTTGAATGCTATAAGGTTCCTTTTATTCACTTATGATCGATCTGTTTCAGTTGTTTTGCTCTTGTTTACATTTATTGACCAATTTCAATTCTACTTGCAAAACAACCTAAGTAGCTTGTTTAATAAATAGCCTTATGTTTATGACTACAATAATATTACTTCATCAATACCTACTAGTTAACCAACGTTAGTCCAAACCTTTGCTTACTCACTAAAGCAAATAAACGTGACTTTTCACCAGAGTTCCACGATTGTTACTTTTTACCAAGGCACCAACTACACTGGCTACTTTTATCAAAGTGCTTTAAATAAAGACAATGTTTTTTTGTTTTTATTTTTAAAAGTTTATTAAATAATGATTATCAGAGTTTTATTTTATTAGAATGTTAATTATCTATTATTTTTTTTCTGCGAGAACCAGAAGCTATCCTTAATGAAATTTTCATTGATCACTACAATAAGGATAAAGATAAAGATGGGTCTATTATTGCAAAATAATTTGATCAATCTTCATGATTATAATTTGATAATAATTATAAAAGCTTTGACATAAAATTTTCATAATAATTATACACTAAAATTAGTTAACCCTGGAACATAAAATCCCTAATCATGTATCACGTTATTAATATAAGAGATGTCCGAGTTTAGTAATAAATGAGTGTGTGGGAATTGAACTTTTGTATTCAGCAAAAGAAAAGCTCAGCTCCTTGGGAACAACTAATGAAACAAAGGAGATTTGTAAACTTTTATATTTTGCTAGCCTTTTAAAGCAATTCACTTGACTTAATGGCAGCGAATTTGACGTAATAAATTTTACAATTACAATTATGACAACATTTCATCAAACAACATTATCAAATTAGCATCGGATGCGAAGCATCTTAGCATACTATCATGCATTTATGATCAATGATGCAATCTTTAATAATAACTAAACTATTTCGTGGCCAGATGGTGCATTGATCGAGTATCCTAATAAATTACCACAAAAACATATATAATTAGACCCGCTACCCGAAAAACGGTGCATTAGTTTTGCTTTTTACGTTGCATTCAAATTTGAGGTCGAGGTGCATAGTGTTCTATATATGATTCAGTTTCACAGGTTACATTCAAATGCGAGGTGACTATATATTCGTTCGAAGCATCAACATTAGCCAAGTCATATTTTTATTTGTTGCGTTGAGCAAAAATTTATTTATTACATGTACAAAGAGAAATTGTTCACGAATTTAATAAATTTAATAAAAGATCCTTTCCAAAGAAGAACCCTAATGTGAAACAAAAGTCATTTATGAGTTTCGGTTGTTAAAAAAAATCAACTAAACTTTTTTTTTCTTGACTAAAAAAAACAATCTATTTGTGATCTTTTCCTTGTATTTAACCCAGATTAAAGGCCAATTGATCGATTGAAATTTTTTTTTTTTTCAAATCTATCGCTATAGAAGAATAAAATTCATGCAAACATCAACGTTATTTACAAATTTCAATTGTTAAAAAAAAAATCAACTATGATTTTTTTTTCTTGATTAAAAAAACCCCCCTTTGACAAAGATTTGTTTTCTCCGAAAGAAAATTAAAATAAAAAATTTTACACTAACCCTCAAATGGTTAAAATCAAAAAAATAATAACAAAAAAATGGTTTTGAATTCCGGTCTTGTGTCCCGAAATATGCACGTCGTGAGACGATTTGGGATCTGAGGTAAAGTCTCCACAGGTTTTTGGTAATTTCAATTGGTCTATATAAAACATCAGAGCAAGACGAAGACCTAATGGTAGACAGCGGTAGACACCACGCAAAAAACCTCTAAAGCTGAACACGATTTCCTTTCGGTCAAGTATCTGCTCCGCCCAACCCTGACGTTTTGAAAAAAATAGATAATTTTTCGATTGCCAAATAAATATTTTTGTTCAAATTTCAATTTTAACAAATTAATTTCAAGCCAGCATACCAAAAAAAGAAAAAAAAAAACGACTCATTACGAAGTTTTATCCTTTGATTTTGATCCCAACAATTCAGTTTACTAAAGTGGAGCAACAAAATGTTAGAAGATTCGTGATTTGTTACCGTAACTGCACCGGATTTACCGTTTCAAGATTTTAACGAGTCTTCTTTATAACTGAATGTTTCTCGTGCATTCAAATTTGGGTAAAATTGTTAGGAAGCATTAAAAAAAAAATATTACACTAAATATAAAAATCTACATAAAAATTACGACATTTAGAAAAGAACCTTACATAACACGGCAGCTTTTATATCTCTACATTCATTAAACATCAAGTCGAATTTATATTTTATATTTTTATATAATGTCATATGTTAAACTATTATCATCGTTATCATCAGAAAGAGAGGAGTTTGTATATAAAACTTATAGAAAAATATTTAATGGTGCTAATGCAGTAGATAGCGAAAGTAGAAAAGATTATTTTTTTTCATTAGTCAAAAAAAATGAGGAGCTTTCTGAAAATGAAAAAGAATATTGTGAAGAAAGGTTTATTTATGATTTTGAATTACAAAATGCAAGTTATAAATTGGGAAAACCAAAAGAATGTAACAAATGTAAATTGACAAAATACTCTGATTGGTTCTGTGAAGATTGTATTAGTTTACAATTACAGAGTCTTTTCACCACTTGGACATCTGGAAATAACATAATTGATGATTTTATTCAACAATGTCAAATGAAATCATCTTTGCCAAGACATATTTTAGAATGGATACCTTTTGAGCAATTTTATGATATAACAAAGTTGACAGAAGATGGATTTAGTTCGATTTTTACCGCTACATGGACTAGAGGAACTATTATTGATTATGACGAAAATACAAAGGAATTTAGTTATTTTGGAGATCAAATAGTAGTATTAAAAAGTTTAAATGATTCAAGTAATCCAGGAAAAAGATTTTTTGATGAGGTTGGTAGTTGTCATTTAAACAAATAAACAATACTGTATTATATAGTACTAATTGATTTTATATTCAATAGGCAATAAATTATTCTAAAATCAAATCACCATTGATTGTTAAATGCAATGGTATAACTAAATTCCCAGATAATGGAAATTATGCAATCGTTTTAAATTATTTATCAGATGGAAATTTAAGGGGTTATTTACAGAAAAATCATTCAAGTTTAACATTAAAAGACAGAATTATAATCTTTTATTATTTATGTTGGGCATTAAATAATATACATAAAAAAGATTTAAGTCATTGTGATTTACATAGTGGTAATATATTATTGCAAGGAGGTTGTAGTTATATTACAGATTTAGGATTATGTGGACCAGTTGATGATGAATCATCAAATAAAGTCTATGGAATTGTATCATATATTGCACCCGAGCTACTTAGAGGCAAAACTAATACAAAGAACATGATATCTATAGTGCTGGGATGTTAATGTGGGAAATATTTGCAGGTCATCCACCATTTAATGATAGAGGTCACAATCATTGTTTGATTTTTGATATATGTGCAAAAGGTTTACGACCACCAATATTACCTGGAATGCCTGATGATTATGTGCAAATGATGCAGAGGTGCTGGGATGCGGATCCATCAAAAAGACCAACTATTGGAGAGCTGTTTCTTTTTGCTGATAAAAAATTTGAAGAAATTATTAAAAATAATAATGGTAATAATACTACTAGTAGCAGTAGTAATGATTCGCAACAAGCATACAAACCACATCCAGATGCATATCATACAAGTAGAATATTAGATGAAGAGATTGCTAAATTTAAAAGCTTGAAAAATTATACAAGTAATAGTTCGTTAAATAATCTTGATTGTAACTCTTTTTTCTAAATGTTAACAAAGGTGAATAAAATTTCATTATTAATTAATTGAAAATTATTATTCATTAATTATTACTAACGATATTAATTAATATGTTAAATTCTAGTAACAATAGTAAAAGAAAAGATGCAATGAATGACTAATTTAATCTCTGCTATAAATTTATTATCTTCTTTTTATTTATCTTTTTATTTCATCCTTATTTTATTTCTTATTTTATAACAATATTTTGAAATAATAAACTTTTTTACAATTTTTTGATTCTTGTTAAATAATGATATTTCGAGGTATCATTTTGGTTAATTAACAATTATGGCTTGACTTTTGGGCTACTCTTGTCAATTCAATTAATTAATTTACGAATTTACTTTGGTTCCTTCTTGCACTTGGACAAATCTGTGAGCACACTTTATGTCGTACCAAATAAATAAAGATGGTCCTTTTGCAATGCTTTCAGTTTTGCCCTTGTTTACATTTATTGGCCGATTGCAAACTCGTTTTGGTTTACTTGCAAAACAAATTGAGTAGCTTGTTTAACAGTCTTATATTTACGATTACAATAATACTACTTCATTAACACCCACTAGTTAACCAACATTAGTCCAAAAACCTTTGCTTACTCACTAAATCAAATTACGTTACTAATCATTGTTAGCACTCACTAGTTAATCAATGTTAACCCTAACCTTGCTTGCTTGCTCACTAAAGCAAATAAACATGGTGTTTTACCAAAGCTCCACGACTGCTACCTTTTACCAAGACTTGCTGCTTTTATCAAAGAAAATAAAGATAATGTTTTAATTTTAAAGGTTTATTAACGATTATTTTATTTAATGAAAATAATGATTCTATCACAGAGTTTTATTTATTTTATTAGAATGTATTATTTTCTTTTGAAGTTATGCTTTTTTCAAGCGAAGACCAGAAGTTATCCTTGATGAAATTTTCGTTGATCACTACAATAAAGATAAAGATGCAAAGTAACTTAATCAATCAATATTGACACTATAAAACTTCCATAATTATTTACACAGTAATAATTACCAAAGGCTTTTGCGTAAAATTTTCATTTGATACACTAAAATTAGTTGACCCTGGAACATAAAGTACCGAATCCTAACGTTATTAATATTAATTAATATAATAATGTTCGGGTATGAGTGTGTGGGAACTGAATTTGTATTCAGCAAAAGAAAAACTTGACTCCTTGGGAACAACTGATGAAACAAAGGAGAGATTGGAATACTCAAAAAAAATACATTAAAAAAAGACCTTGGAATATATAAGTTTTTTTGTGAGCTTTTATATTTTATTCGCCTTTAAAGCAATTTTACTTGCGTCATTTTTGACTTAATGGCAGCAAATTTGACGTAATAATTTTACAACTTTGGTGGCATTTCGTCAAACAACATCAATACGGTATAAAGCACCAATATCAATTAATATGTAGTTTTGCTGAAAAGAGTATCCAGACAGAAGAAACGAACGTCACATTCTCTGTTGTGTTTGGTAAAGATGCGAAGGATTTTATTGAGGCCTGGGTACAACCACATGATGCTTAAGATTTGAGTTTTTTCAAGCTAAATCTAAAAAATACTAAATTTAGGATTTAAAATAATTAGTATGTTAAATTTAATTCTCGTGATAACATGTTAAATTGGAATGATTACTTACTCAATTAACTATTGTTCGATTTCGCCTTAAAAATAGTGATAATGGAGACTTTTAGAATTTGTTAGAAGAAAAATGAAAAAGAGGAGGAATTTTGGGTTTATATTCATAACTTTGTCTCAGCGGTGGTAAGATTTCACGCTAAATTTTATTTATTTTTTAATAATAGGCGTATCATAATTATTCTTTAAATAATAAATAGCCAAAGAAAAGGCCGATTATTGTTTCATTGTGATGCAAACCACCTTTCGAAATATTTGGATTAATGCGATGTTTGCAGTTAATTTATTATTATACGCAAATTGACACATATGATCATTTATAATATATTTAAAAACTGTTTTTCTACTTTTGATTTATACTATAATAGTAATAGTGATAATAAAAGACTTTGTGACAGTCTTATTGGTATGTTGTAGTATTTACCAAAAGTTATGAAATCAATCATTTTAGCTTCAATGTTAAATTTTGTGGAATCAAATTAATTTATTTGTTCAAACAATGAATTAATTAGAAAGTTCAAGAAAATTTGAGAACCTTTAGATAATTTATTTATAGTAAATAAATAATACTGATTAATAGTTATATTGTCTTTAACGATTAGACTTGGCAACACGTTCTAAAATATAATCAATTAGTTGGTATTAGATTTTTTTTTAAAAACAATAAATAGGTCAAATAATAATTACCTAATTCGTCTTTCTTTTTAATGGCATATGAATTTGAACTTCCCTCTAATTAAAACATAAATTTTTGTTAATTAGAATTTTTTCTTTTTTTTAAATCAAGACCGATAAAAATGAAATGAAATACAAACTAGCAGCATTAATTAATTCATCGGCCAAACATTCAGCAATACTTTTAACATTTCTGAAAGCTGATTCACGTGTCTATTATTACCATGTTATCATTATAATATATTTAGAAACATATTCAAAATAATCATAATCACAATAGAAAATTTTTGTAAAAGAAATGATCACAACTTACTCCAATTGTTAATAATGCAATAGATTGATTCACTCTACGAAGAGGTGAAACATCAACTGCTTGTCTCCTAACTGTTCCTGCACTACCAATACGAGTTGAATCTTCACGCGGACCAGTGTTAATTATAGCATCAACCAAAACTTGAATAGGGTTTTGATCAGTTGAAAGGTGAATAATTTCAAATGCGTGTTTTACAATTCTAACTGCCATTAATTTTTTTCCGTTATTACGCCCGTGCATCATAAGTGAGTTGGTCAATCGTTCAACAATAGGACACTAAGATTTTTTGAACGAGCAGATTATATATACGAGATTTTGATTCTTTTATCAACATTAAAAAGAAAAACATTATTTACTTGTGCTTTTCTAAATCTTTTTGTGGAAAAACGACCAGCTGTATGCGGTAAATAAACTGGATTACGAATTTGTATGTAGTCTGTCAATGATATATCTTTTACTTCTACATCATCGTAAGTCCATTTATTAAATAATAGAATTCCTTGAGAAGCTGAAGCAATATCAGTAGGAAGAGCCATGATACACTTTATATATAAAAATGATTATAAGTTTGAATGTTGTATTTTTTTTTAATCAAAAAAAACAAAAAAGGATGTAATCATCCAAAAAAAAATTTTTGTTAATATGGGGATCTACAATCAAAAAATCAAATTATAAGAAGTTACACGAACAGAAATTATAATAATATTAGCTATTAAAAAATGCACAATTTAATCAAGAGCGACAAATTTTGGGTCTACTATCATCACAGCATCATCATCATCTTTTATAATAATAGTTTCATCATCATTAATTGATAATTTTTTACGAAATTTCGATTCAGCCGAGACACTAACAATTTCTGATTCATCAATTTTTCTTTTTTTTGATAAATTGTCAACAGTGAATAAGGATGATAAGGATGATGACGTTGGTGATGATTGTGAAGGTGGTTTTGCATCTATTTCCATAGGTTTGGGGATCCTAAAATTTCCATCGACCTGAAACCAGACATCTGGAGAATCAAAAGATTCCCTAAATTTGATTAGAATATAAATATAAAATTTAGTTGTTAATCTTTGATAAATATTTGGATTTTTCTCAATAAAATACATTATTTATTACTTGTGAGATATTGAAAAGATTGCTGGTACATATTCATCCTCTGGTGTCACCATCAACATTTTACCATCAGTGATTGTTAATTGTTCAAATGTAGAATCAAGGTTATCATCATATTCAACATCGTATAACATTCTATTGTAGAGATTTTTTACTTAATAAGGATTTTTTTCTTTTGGTTTACCATGTAAATATGCATTCATACACACACACATATAATACCCACCTTCCATCTTGAGTCACCATATAATCACCAATGTCTGTTTTATCTTGATCATCTAATAAAACAATTTTTTCAAGAAATTCTCTTAATGTAGTTTTCTTGGTGTTAATCTTCAATGATACATATGCATTACTACAAATAAGACAATTTGGTTTTGGTTTTTTAAGTGACTCTGAAAGAAATACTTGTGGCAGTCTTGATCTATCAAAGTATACCTATTTATAATTAATAAAAAATTTTTTTAAATGTTAATAATAAAGATATTTTTACTCAAACTAAAAAAAGAATTTTATTGTAGTTAAAAATAAATGTTACAGTTTTGCATTCGTTTAATTTTCCATTAAGAATTTTGAATGATTGCATCACAATCATTCCTGCAATGATGGCATTTGTTGTTGCGATTGCTGGAATAATATTACCAGCCATTGCTAAATTTTCCATTAATAAACAAAACCAATTGTAAAGATATTTAGTTACAATGATATAAATAGATTAATCTATAGTCAAAATATTGTATTTTATATGATAATCACCTTTAACATCAAAACATGATTTTCTTTCAATGTCAAATACAAACGCCCTTAAATTTGATGTAGCAGTCACAAAGTCCAACGTGTCTATGTCGTCTTTGTCAAAAGAAAGTGAAGCATTAGGATTTGATGATTTTTCATATAATAATCTTGAACTCAATCTTTGAATGCTATTAAAAAAAAAAAAATCAAATTAAATAAAAAAATCACAATATCATTAATGTTGTTAAAATTAGTTTTCATTTGTTGTTGATAATTAACCTATCTTTGAATACTAGAAGGTTTTCATTAAGACTCCAAACATTTCGATTTCTTGCTATATTTTTATTTGTTGTCATATCAATAGATTGTGAATTATTATCATCAATTGAATTTTCAATAGTTTCATAATTCAAAGGTTTGGGTGGTTTTCTTGACTTCCACATATCTTCCATGCTTAATAAACGTACAATATCATCAGAAAACACCTTTTTAAAAACCATTCTTGGAAAATCGTCAGATCCGATCGCCTCTCTTATTTCTTTTAAAATTTGAGTTTCCTTCTTAAGATTAGAAATTTCCTCGGCTTTAATATACGTATATATATATATATATATATATATTGATTTATTTATTGATAAAAATTATTTTTTTAATCAAGGTATGAATAATAACATTATTAATCAATATTTTTTTAGTACCATTTTCACTATTAAGTGATGTATCCAATTCTGAATCATCATCATCTTCAGGTATTCCAAATAACTGACTAGTAGAGATATATTAATCATAAAACTAGAATAGTTTAACAAATTAAAAAAAAAATTTATAATAATACCTGAAAAGATAACTTTTTGCCCAAACAATACAATGTATTGGACTACTTGGTGTACTACGAATAGTACAGATTGCATATGTTTTTCTTGATGGTTTTGGTAAACAATCATAACATTCTGTTTCTCCCTAATTGATTTTGTATATATAAATTTTTATTCTATATTAAATAAATATTTTGAAAAAGTCTCCATTGCCAAGTAATAGAATCTTTGAGTTTAACCTTTTTTATAACTGTAACTTGTCCCAAGTATCCTTCTGTTCCAGATTCGATTAATGGTACATTTGCAGCTAAGCACATCTTGTTCACGTGACGTCTGGCATCTTAACAATTAATATTTTTGATATTAATTTAAAAGGATAAGGTTTTAAAAATATGTATTTATGTAAATCATTACCGAGATTGTCTAAGGCATTCATTACGATGTCAAAACTTTTAAACCATTCTAGATTGAATTGAAGATCTTTAATATTGGCATGATGTGAGGTTATATTTACATTTGGATTAAACTTCAATGCTGATTCTCTTGCTACCTAATAAGCAATAGTTGAATAAATACAAAATAAAAACAATTTGAAATCAAAGAAAGATATTTGATTTGATTAAATACTTCAGCTTTTGATTTTTTGATATGTTGTTTTTGAAATAAAAATTGTCGATTAAGATTTGATAAGTCTATTGTATCTAAATCAATCTATTTGATGTAATAATAAAAATATGTGGATCAGTAAAGTAGTTCACAGTATGTTAAACTTAATTTCTTAATCGTAAAGTAAAAAGACCAGCTAACCAATTCAATTTCTTGAAAACCTGACATGACAAGGTTTTTCAAAAGTTCACAGCCTATTCCACCCGCTCCAACCATTAATACTCGACATTTACTTATTTTTTCAAATAGTTCTGAGCCAAGGATTGTGTTTAAATGTGAATTTCTAGTCATCTTGTTTACTAATATATAGAAAACTCTATATTATTATTTTTAAACACATGAGTTCAATTTACTTTTTTGGGAGATCATTGAAGAAAAAAACGAACACAAAAAATTGAGATTTTCATTCGGACACAAATCAAAAAAAAAAAAAAATAAGGACTTTTTTTCATTACAAGATCTGTTAGATCTTTTATTTAATTATTCTTTTTTTTTAAAAAAAAAAATGAAGAACATGGCTAATTTATCAAGGAATTTAACATTTATTAAAACTGTCAAAGGTTATAATCTAAATTTCGTAAGTATTCTTTGGATTTTTTTTTTTTTATCAATTTATATTATAACCATTCTGAATCTAAGGAATATTTAGAAACAAGCTTGTCTAATACGTTCTTTGAGAACTAGCTCTTCTCAAAAAGCCGAAGTGCAAGTAAGTTAATTGATTGATTTTTTTAAAAAATTTAATTAGATTTCTATTTAATTTAAAATAAAAAAAATTTTTATTTTACAAGGCAAGCGCTCCCTCCATTACGGAAACGGCAATTAACAAAAAAGAGCCTTTATATAAATCCTTTTCTATTTATCGATGGGTAAGAGTTTATTAGAAATATAATTGATCTACTACTAAACGATCATTTATATTAATTACTTGTAATATAGAATCCGGATGAACCTTCAGTAAAACCAAAATTGGTTGATTATAAAATAGACCTCAATTCTTGTGGTCCTATGGTGCTTGATGCATTAATAAAAATTAAAAATGAAACGGATGCTACATTAACTTTTCGACGTTCATGCCGTGAAGGAATTTGTGGTTCTTGTGCTATGAATATTGATGGCATAAATACTTTGGCATGTCTTTGTAAGATTAATCGTAATTCCAGTTCTACTAAAATTTATCCATTACCTCATGGTAAGTTATTAATATACACACATAATTGTAAATATATATTTTTTCATATGAAAAAAAAAAAAATTAATTAATATTATAATTAACAATTTATAGCGTATGTTGTGAAAGATCTTGTTCCAGATCTTACCCATTTTTATAAACAATATAAATCTATTGAACCATACCTTAAGAAAAAGAATCCACCAAAGGAAGGTGAACGTGAAAATTTACAATCAATTGAAGAACGTAAAAAATTAGATGGTCTTTATGAGTGTATTTTGTGCGCATGCTGTTCTACTTCTTGTCCAAGTTACTGGTGGAATTCTGATGAATATCTTGGACCAGCAGTTTTGATGCAAGCTTATAGGTGGATGGCAGATTCTAGAGATGATTATGGTCATGAACGTCGTGAAGCTTTACAAAATCCATTTTCGGTTTATCGTTGTCACACTATCATGAATTGTACTAGAACATGTCCAAAAGGTTTAAATCCAGGTCGTGCTATTGCTATGATTAAAAGAGAAATGGCTTTAGAATAAAGAATAAAGAAGATTATTTTGATCTATTATATATATATATATATTATTTATTTTTTTATTAAATAAATATAAAGTTTTTCAAATAAACAACGCGTTTGTTTATTAAATTTAAAAATATAAAATGTCGAAATTTTCAATTAGCCATATATATCAAATTCCAGTCAAGAAGCCGATCATACTTTATCTTTATTACAAATGTTCAAATACAACAAGAAGTAACTCCTGTAACGAAAAGTGATGAACTGAAAAGAAAATCAACTTATTGTATGTAGATGAAATTTTTACCTTTACATATCAGTGTATAAATTGTAGGGGATAAAGAAAATAACATAAAAAAAATTGAACAGACGCGGAAACTCTTTATTTAATTTCTGTTATTAAATGAGTTGATTTGATGATTACAATGAATAAAATTAAAAAAAACAAATATATATCCAGGTGGAACTGTTAAACACAGACAATAACTTATATATCACATATCATTTTATAGATGGGTCAAGTTATTGGTTGAGTATCAAAAACTGAGAATTAAGTGATTTCCCAGTAGACCTGAAACTTGGTGAAGATCCGTTTACAATACATTGAAGATCATACGTTGTTTAATTGATCAATTTGTCACTATGAATGAATAAATACATAGTAATAGTGATCAGCAGGGGAAATTGACCAATCAGAAAAGTTTTATTATTATTATGCTTTCGTTCCACTACATAATCTTTTTTACAATATGTAGAAAAAATCTCAATTGTATTAAAGAAAAAAAGCCTTATTTGATAAATTATCGTGTAATATTCGGCTTTTAACATTCCCTAATTGAATAATGCACTTTGGAATTTGGAGTTTGAAAACAAGGTAGACATATTGAGTAAAAAAAGGTTTATATATTACATTTATTATGAATAGCCTTTTTGTCATTTTACATTTATGGCCAAATTTCAATTGAATTCATTGTCATTAATTTTTTTTGTCGATCTTTTAATATAATAAATCGATCGACGTTTCTTTCATTCATAGACGGATTAATCTCTTTGCTAATTGTGCCTAGTACCTAGAATATCTTCACGTGTTAAATCACGTTTTAGAAATCTTATTGGCATTTTGCTAACGTTTCAATAATTCTTTGATCGTTATCTTTTTTAAAAAACTTTTGAAACCTATATAGAAAAACCAATTGACTTATTTAAATGGCCCATGCTCGTCTTTAATTTTATTTTTAATTTCAAGAATAAAGATTTGAAGAGCATCATAAAATATTCAATATCGTAGAATGCGTTTGTCTGAACAAAGTTTAGATTGCTGTTTTTTGCTTTTCCATATAACATCATGATTCAAAGTCTTTAATTTGATTTTTATGTTTAATTGAATAAATAAATATTCGGTGATTCAAAAAAATTGCAAGTTTACAGTAAAATTATTCACGTGGAATATGTGGAAAAGTGTGCATTTATTTTCTTGTTAATGAATGAATATCAACGGGTCATGTCCATTCCTCCGACAGACTCTGTTGCCGTTATACTAACAGGACATTATATCGGCAACTTAAACAGCTTAGCCGGCTAATAAATGATTTAACAGACTTAAATAGATTGGCCAGCCAATCAACCAACACACCAATATATTAATATGTCATTTAACGGATAATGATAATGACATGATATGGTTATGGAAAAACAAAGAATATTATGCTAGGCTGATAGAATGTATTAGAAAACGTCTTGTCGGTATAATGTCCTGTCGGTATAATGGCATCGGGAAACATCTTTCAGGGGACCAATATCAACGAATTACAAATTTTATGATCAATATTAATGCATTAATTAAAAAAATCACGGCCATCAACCAATTTTGGTGGTTTAGGAAACATATATTCTTTTTTTTTGACTTTTTTTCCTACCTTTATCTTAGCAATAGGTCAACTACATTTTATTCAATCACCACATCATTACCGTAATAATGACCATCTTGTTGTGACTTCATATTACAAAATGGTTTAAAAGTTTAGAATTCATTTTAATTTAAGTCTGATATTGCCATATGTAAGGACATCATTTTTAGAGGCATATTTCAAATGTGATGGCAGCTTTGGATTAATCAAAAAACTCTACAGAAAAACAAGTGTAATAGATTGTGTGGATCAGTAGTTGGTATGGTGAAAAGATCTACAGTCAAACCTCGATAAGCCGAACTTTTGGGAATCACAAAAATAGGATCGGCTCATCAAAAATTCGATTTACGATACAAACAGGGCTGGCAGCGTAAAGGGTTAAAAGCCTAATTTAGTAATAATCATCTTGACT